ACGGGAAGAGCATGAAAACTCCATACACACAGCAGAGGCGGGATTCAAACCCACACAACACGGGAAGAGCATGAAAACTCCATACACACAGCAGAGGCGGGATTCAAACCCACACAACACGGGAAGAGCATGAAAACTCCATACACACAGCAGAGGCGGGATTCAAACCCACACAACACGGGAAGAGCATGAAAACTCCATACACACAGCAGAGGTGGGATTCAAACCCACACAACATGGGGAGAGCATGAAATCTAGATAAACACAGCAGAGGCGGGATTCAAACCCACACAACACAGGGAGAGCATGCAAACTCCATGGACACACAGGAGAGGCGGGCTTCGAACCCACACAACATGGGGACAGCATGAAAACTCCAGGGGCACACAGGAGAGGCAGGCTTCGAACCCACACAACACGGGGAGAGCATGCAATCTCCACGGACACACAGCAGAGGCAGGATTCAAACCCACACAACACAATCAGAGCATGAAAACTCCATACACACAGCAGAAACGGGATTCAAACCCACACCACACAAAGAGAGCTTGCAAACTCCTTACATACACAGTTGAGGAAGGATTCAAACCCAATGAGCTGCTGTGTTAGTCAGAACTCATGCATCATGGGTATTATCACTTATTTATTTGAATATTATTTGCGAGGCAGGAATATATAATGATTGAAAAGCACTATAAAGTGTAAGATATGGTGTTGGTGCATGTTAAGGTCAGCATGCCACACATGGACGGATCCACAGAGACAGCACACTTCCCAGGGAAGACAGCGTGATTAATTTAATATGACTCCCTCTGAGTCTTTCCATCGCATCCCTGTCTCTTAAATGTGAAGTGACTTTAATGAGTATATCAAAAATTAAACTCAAATTAAACAGACTTTTTGAGCACAAGAAGTAATTTGCGCTGCCAAAGCACTTGAAGCGAGGCACACATTCCACACGAGATACGTAACGCCTGTTTTATTACAAAACAAATAAATAAATGATTAAAGTTAATGATAAGGAGTGAGTTGTGAGCTCACTCTATGTGGAGGAACATAGCTCCTCGCTTGTTGCTATGGCAACAGAGAGGGGCGCAGCAGGAGTTCTGCTGGAGATCAGTAAGCAGCAGATGCCCTCCATCCTGACTGAGCGAGGTCACCCCAGCATGATAGCCCCGAGCTCCGCGAGTGTGTGCGTGTAGCCCTGTGTCTATCCATGTGTGTGTACCTCTGCGTGTTGGTATGTAAGCATTTTAATGTTTTTTGCACATGAACAATGCCGGTTTTAATGAGGAGAACAAGAGAAAGGATGGGGCACCCAGCAAGGGCCCCACTCAAAATTCACTCTGCCACCCCCCGACCGCCCCGTCCAATGTTTCAAAAACAAAATAAATAGCTAGTGAGAGGTTCCTAAAGAGCTGGCTGGATAGCAGAACACGCTGCTTCAGCACCTCCTAAATAAGGAACATCTTTATTTAATACTCGGTGTAAACCTCGGGGGCCACAGAAACACGTCGTTTTAGTGGTGGGGTGTATCATCCATGGGTTTTGCCCCCCGTTCCTCCAGAGAGAGTAAAAATGTGGCCCGTCTGGTGGCCCCTGAGTACTGGGTTGAGAAACCCTGAATTATAACATTCTACTGATTCTTTCTCATCAGGACACCTCAGTTTGTTGGGTTACATAAATACACATGATGGTTCTCCGCACTGTACCTCAGCATGGCCCCGTCCTGCTGACAGCCTGCAGCAAGGTGAAGGCTGTGGCGTGGCTCGGTCGGTTCTTGTTCCCTGTGTTGGTTTCCTCTGAGACTCTGAGGGCCTTTCCTGAGGGAAATAAAGCAGATGGATCCCATGCTGTGGTACTGTGGTGTGGGGAGGGACACCGCTCAGTGCTCTCATGCCGTAGGGTCAGGACACGTCCCGTGCGGATTCCGGAACGTTCCCCTGGTACTGTGGTGTGGGGAGGCAACCCTGGTCAGCGCTATCACACTGCCGGCTCAGGGCATGTCCTGTGCGGATTCTGGAACGTTCCCCTGGTACTGTGGAGTGGGGAGGAAGCACCGCTCAGTGGTCTCATGCTGCCAGCTCGGGGCACCTCCCCTGTGGATTCCGGAATGTTCCACTGGTGCTGTGGTGTGAGGAAAGAGCACCACTCAGAGTTCTTAGGCCGCCAGCTTAGGACACTTTCCGTGCAGATTCTGGAACATTCCACCAATACTGTGGTGAGGGGATGCAGCACTGTTCAGCAGTCTAACAACGCCGGCTTGGGGCACATCCCGTGCAGATTCTGGAATGTTCTACCAGTGCTGTGGTATGGACCGGGAGCACTGCTCAGAGCTGTCATGGCTGCTGGCTCGGGTCATGTCCCGTGCAGATTTCAGAAAGTTCCACCAATGCTGTGGTATTGGGAGGGAACGCCATTCAGCGCTCTCACGCTGCCGGCCCGGGGAATGTCCCATACGGGTTCTGGAACATTCCACCGGTGCTGTGTAAGTGGCAGTGGCCGGTGCACAAAGCTGTCTCTACGTGGCCTCAGCTTAGGGCTCCGTGCCTCTCTCTAGCCACATTTCGCAGTTGCTGCATTTTTCTCTTAAAATGATTTTCATACTGTATCATTCCTGCCTGACTTTCTCCCATACACACCCCAGAATCAGCTGTTGGGAAACTGACCCAACCTGCTTCCTAACCTTGAACATCTAGGTAAATACTTAGTAGATTTTTGCCCTGATCTTTTTACAGTCTCGCTCTGCTATTTTCCTGTACCGGAGTAATTCCTCTTCATAATCTGACAGTTCCTTAACTAGCCCATAGTCTGACTGCAGTATGTTCTGCACAACCTAAATACTTAAAAATTCCCCATGTTCTAGTAGTGTCTGGCTGTCCATCTGGTGAGGGGGGGTGTGTCCATTTCCTGCTGCCCTCCAGTAAAGTAAAGTAAATCTCCAAAAATAATAGTTTAATTAAGTACCTGCATGGATCTTTGTGCCATGCCAAGTGTGATGGAGGGGGAGGTGGGGTAAAACAAATGGCGGTGGGGGCAAGGGGGGGCAGTGTGCAGGATGAGAGCTGCATCAGTAATGGGGCACAGTGTGAGGCTGGGCTGGAGAAAGCACCATCGCCCCCCCGACCCGCGTCAGCATTGGTGCCGATAAGCCTTTGTGCTCGCAAAGACTAGATAAGTGGGACAGAGCACTTACACGCAACGGCCTGTCATCTCTGCGCAGGCGGGCAGCCGCGGCTGTGCTTTTATCACTGCGGTGACAGCGTATGTCAACGATGGACAGGCAATTCCCATGTGAGGTGGACGACTGGCAACTAACCTGTCCCGTGCCACTCCCGAAGGGGGTGTGGTCATAATAAAGGGGAATCAGTGGAAGAGGCTGACAGCTTCAGACTGTTGGGGCGTGGCCTATAAGTTAATAGACCGAACACAACTCTGATATGCTAACACAGCTTCGATACACTAACACAGCTATGATACACTAACAAAACTCCCTCACACTAACACAGCTATGATACTCTAGCACAGCTCCCTCACAGTAACACAACTCTGTTACGCTAACACAGTTTCCTCACACTAACACAACTCTGATATGCTAACACAGCTCCCTCACACTATCACAGCTATGATACACTAACACAGCTATGAAACGCTAACACAGCTCCCTCACACTAACACAGCTCTGATACGCTAACACAGCACCCTCACACTAACACAGCTCTGTTACACTAGCACAGCTCCCTCACACTAACACAGCTATGATGCGCTCAGATTCATAGGCCTGGAGAAGCTTGGGACTCGCCAGGCAGCACAAGCCCAGCCGCTGCACCTGTCCCTGGGAAGCCTGCAGCGGGCAACACGCCTCACCAGGGCTTTTCCTTAAGCATGTGTGTGTGCTGTTTAAAGTCAGCGATAAAATGCATTTAGCCTGACACAGCTGGGTGGAAAAGATTTAGGGGGGTATTAGCAGTAAATGAAGAGACAGTTATTAACTGGAGTGTGATTTGGCAGTCCTGAACACGGCTCAGGTATTAAGCACACATTAATTTGAACCACACCTCTGCGAGCTTTGGGGGAGGGTGGCTGTGCAGCACAGAGATAAGGTAGGCAAGTAGACGGGAGGTCAGGAAGCAGGAAGGTGGGAAGCAGGCAGGCAGTTGGGAAGCGGGTGAGCAGGAAGTGGGTTGTGGTGGGGAAGCGGTTGAGCAGGAAGAGAGTGGGTGGTCGGGAAGCGGACAGGCAGGCAGGAAGAGAGTGGGTGGTTGGGAAGCGGGCTGGCAGGCAGGAAGAGAGTGGGTGGTCGGGAAGCGGACAGGCAGGCAGGAAGAGAGTGGGTGGTCGGGAAGCGGACAGGCAGGCAGGAAGAGAGTGGGTGGTTGGGAAGCGGGCTGGCAGGAAGCAGGTGGGTGGTTGGGAAGCGGGCAGGCAGGAAGCAGGTGGGTGGTTGGGAAGCGGGCAGGCAGGAATCAGGTGGGTGGTTGGGAAGCGGGCAGACAGGAAGCAGGTGGGTGGTTGGGAAGCGGGTGAGAAGGAAGCAGACTGGTGGCCTGGAATCAAAGCAAAATCATTCCACCTTATTCAGTGCTTTTGAATGATAGAGTGCGGGGGGGAGCGGTGCTGAAAGGTGGGTGGGGGTAACTGTTCTGTGAGAGGTTTACAAGCTGACATGCATCTTGAAATCGTTTAATCGAACATTATGTTCCACAGGCATCCAGAATTATAATTCTAATGGCGCAGATGTGCTTCTTGTCCCGGGTCGTGGGACGGCATGGTCCAATGCTAAACCCAAGTTCTGTGGGGCCATGAAGCGGAAGCATCTTCTCTAGCAAGCAAACAAATTTCAGAGAGCAGACTGAGCTTGGGGGTGATTTAAAGGAGGCGCTGGTGGCCGTATGTCCTCTCAGCGTCCCTCTCTGTCTGTCCTCGTCCCCAACAGAGAGCAAGGAAATGTACAAGAGGCAGGTGCTTTCCATCTCCTGCATCACGGCGGGAATCAGCCTCCTGGGAACATTCTGCATCGCCCTCTACTGCCGCAACAAGTGAGTGAGGGCTCCACCTAGAGGCCTGGGGGGGTTATTTAACGCTCGAGTGAAGCTTGTTAGGAGGTTTTAAACCTCTGTGTGAAGAGGTTTGTGGATTTCACAAAGTTACTGAATGCCAGCGTGTATTTAAAGCTTCTGCAATTCTTGCTTCTCTTGGCCTCATCCTGAGTTAGAATCTGGTTTTTGCACATTGCGTTGTAATTTTCACTGGATATATCAGGGTCTACAACGCAGAGGTGTTCCAGGATTTGACCCAATGACTCAGTGTGTTGCTGCGGCTCCTCCCCTCTCCAGGCGGCGCAGTGAGAAGCTTCAGGCCCACCTGAAGGAGTGTCGCAGCCTGAAGTGCTACAGCTCCTCGGGGCTTCTGCCCAAATCCAGCCTGAGGCCTCAGTGCGGCCTGCACCTGCAGAGCGTGAGTACACGGCCCGGAAACTTCCCCTACCCATGCTGGCCCCCGACAGCCCCCGGAAATCTCATGCGGCACATGGGTGTGTGTGTTTTAAGGTGCAGCTGCCCTTTCAGTGTTTTCAGCATTTATTCTAGCTCAGAAGCTTGCGGGAGTGCCACTTAGGCATACTGACATTTAGCAGGGCCTGCGTCATGGTGGCACTCTGCTCCGTCGTCAGGTAGGCAGGGAGGCTAAAGCAAAGTGGTTACAGACCTGTGGGGGTGCAGACCGTCCCCCGAGCAGCAGCGATCAGCCACAGACCACGAGCCTGTGTGGGGCTCAGGGGCTTTGGATGCTCTCTCTTATCAAATGGTCATTGGTTCATATCCCAGGACTGACAGAGTGATGTCACCCAATTACCCCAGAGTCTAGTTGACCTTATTTTCTCAAAAAACATATAAAAGACATATTTCAAGTAACAGCCCAAAGTCTGTAAGGGCTGCACAGTGGACAGATAGAGCTTCTCACTTAATAACTTGCTAATTGGATGTAGCTGTGCGCAGTGAGATTGGGTCCAGCTGCTTTTAAATATACATTTTTTTGAATCCCTGAAATGTCCCTGAGTGTAAATAATGCAGCTCGTGAAGCAGGGCTAAATCATGAATTCTTTATGTCTGAATCATGTCAGCAGGCACGTCGAAAATGATTAACTATCGCTTGATCACAATGCAATGAAATAAAAAGATTAAAACTATCTGTATTCCTATTCAGATTTTTCATACTTTCAAATTGCCAATGTTTTGGAAGCCAGGAGTGGTACGTGGTTTTCAGCCGGACATTGGCAGCCCCCTGTCCCTCTTCCTGCCAGGAGTCCCACGCATATCAGATACAACCTACCGGCACGACGGACACCTGGGAGTGCTCCTGGGTGGTCGCCATGGGAACGCGGGCGTCAGACTCCTCAGCCATCTTCCTATCGGTCTCCCTGTTTCCTGACCGTTGTTTCACTGGGCATGCGTGTTCACACTCATTCACACACGTGCACTCTCCATCACACATAAATGCTGCAGTTGTGTCAGGTGGAGGAGAGGAAAACAAAACTCGTGCCCATACACCCCCAGAACTGGGTTGGAATTTAATCTCTTAACACCAGCCCTATGGCACCCCCCCATCTGCAGAGAGGGAAACGCAGGCATGATGTCACATCAAACACGTGAAGGGAACTATGGCACGAATTTGTGTGATGTTCTGAGAATGTAACAAGCGGCGAGAATGCGGCCTCAGAGCTTGAGCCTCAGCGTGTATAGTGTAGCGTGTAGTGCGTAGCGTGTATAGTGTAGCGTGTAGTGCGTAGCGTGTATAGTGTAGCGTGTAGTGCGTAGCGTGTATAGTGTAGCGCGTAGTGCGTAGCGTGTATAGTGCAGCGTGTAGTGCGTAGCGTGTATAGTGTAGCGCGTAGTGCGTAGCGTGTATAGTGCAGCGTGTAGTGCGTAGCGTGTATAGTGTAGTGTGTAGCGCGTAGCACCACAGGCTCTGCCTGCTCCGCTGCGGCGGGCTCTTTGTTTTCCTGCTATCTTCCTGACCCTTGCCACTGTGCTGGTTACTGTATTTTAGCTTCTGGGATTTTCTTCTCAATCTGATTCCACGCATCGGAGCTGGCAGCAGCGAGATAAAACCATTAGCGCCACGTCTATCGGATTAGCGCGCTCTGCGAGGGGGGTGGGTCCCTGGAGAGGGGGGCCGCCCACCTGCGTGAGCCGCCGGCCGGTCGCTGGCCAGACCTCCCTGGAGGAAAGGCTGGCTAATGCACGGCCGGGCCGGCCTGCGGGGGACCCCATCAGATGGCGCTGAGCTCGGCCGGGCTCTCCGTGCGGGCGGCACCTTCTCTGTGACGTGGCCTGCCTCCATAGAGCTTGCGGGATCCTCCCTGAGCCCAGCGGCCTGGTGATCTCACTCCCGCCATCTGCCTTGGCATCCGATTGGTCAGCTAGCTGTGTAGGTTCCAATGCCTGTAAGGGCTGCAGCGGAGGACACATTTTAGTCGGTTAAAAACTCGCAGATGGACTCGGCCTCTCTAGTTCTGTAGCCGTGGTGATGCTGGTTGTCACGGCGACTGTGGATCAGATTGACCAGACATTGCCTGGCAAAGAAGAGCAGCAGGCAGCTGGGGGTCTATTAGGGGTCCCACTTGGCCACATTCTGGGACCTTTTTAAGGGTCTGTGAAGGACCCCGCCGGGCCTCACGGACCCCTGGCAGCCCTGCTTGCTGACCGGATGCCCTCGCCTCCGACATCAGGACACAGACAGGTAACAAGGGGGCTGATAGATGGAAACAGGAAGGGCTGGCCAGCCTTGGTGCATAGCAGGTCAGGGAGCTGCGGCCTCGGTGCCAGCCGAAATCTGGCTGAGCAAAGAGCATGCAGCAGCTTCTGGCTAAGCACCTAAGCAAATAACATCGCGGTGCTTCGGAAATCAACATGTTCATGGAGTCTGAAGGGATGGCAAGGCGACAGGGTCCCGGAGTCTGGGATGGAAAGGCAACTGGGCCCCGGAGTCAGGGATGGAAAGGCAACTGGGCCCCGGAGTCAGGGATGGAAAGGCAACTGGGCCCCGGAGTCTGGGATGGAAAGGCGACAGGGCCCCGGAGTCAGGGATGGAAAGGCGACTGGGCCACGGAGTCAGGGATGGAAAGGCGACAGGGCCCCGGAGTCAGGGATGGAAAGGCGACTGGGCCCCGGAGTCAGAGATGGAGAGGCGACAGGGCCCCGGAGTCAGGGATGGAAAGGCGACAGGGCCCCGGAGTCAGGGATGGAAAGGCGACAGGGATCCTGATTGGCCGTCTTTTCTGCATCAGCGAGTCCCGTTCTATCAAACGCATGTAGGCATGACCTGATTAGCCAGACATGAGTGTTCAGGGATGAGCAGGTGGCATGGGGGGGTCCCCTTGAGGACAAAATGACAGAGTAATGATCTGCACACAGGGAAAGTCCTCCCTGAGAAGAAAAACACACCCCTCACTTCACACTGCCTTGTTTTATGTTTTAAGCGTTTCATGCCGTGTTCCTGTGTATGAATGATGGATGACAAGCAAGTGACAGTGACAGGGACACACCCCATTGAGGGACACCCCCAGAGCGGTGATTTCCCCAATTTTGTGTCTTGCCATCCTTCTGTTTCACTGGGGCGGAGAGTCAGGTCATCTATACCCCTGTGCTGTGCTGCGATTCCCTCATTATGCCACCGCTGACCGTGGATACAGGTTGGGAATACAGAGTCTTGTCCGCTCATTTCTGATTATTCTTAAACACTGAAAAGACGAATTATGGTAATGATCCCTTTTTATAGAAAAATCAAAGAAATTCTTTAAGAATCCATTAATGTAATCACGTCTGGGACTAATTCTTGACTTCTGTCGGAGTGCCGTTCCAGGCATCGGAGAGTGTAAGCGGAACACATCTCATTTAATCCGTGTTTTAAACACAGGGTCTAATTAAAATCACCATATATCCAACAGCCGCCGCACTGCAGCGCCCTCTGCGCGGGAACACGGCACGCACACGCGTGTACTGTGGAAACACGTTAACGCTCATCCGCGGCCTGATTAGACGGCCAATTAGCCCGGGAGAGCAGTGGCAGGTGCCGCCATCCGGCGCGCTCCCTCCATATGGATCAGATAACGGACATGGAGCGGAAGCCGAGCCTGACGCACAGTCGCCGGCCAGCCCCATGCCCGCTCTGCACTCCTGACGCACAGTCGCCGGCCAGCCCCATGCCCGCTCTGCACTCCTGACGCACAGTCGCCGGCCAGCCCCATGCCCGCTCTGCACTCCTGATGCACAGTCGCCGGCCAGCCCCATGTTAGATTGGTATCTGCTACACAGGAAGGGCTTTGCGATACGGTGCCAGCCTGGGAGCTGGTCACCTCTGCGTATGATACCCCAACAGCCCCATGCCTCGTGGGTGGGGGGGGCGGGGATTCCAAACGGGGAAATGCAAGTACTGACTCTTCCTTTGTTTCCTTCCATAGTATGGAAAAGGTAATGGGTCCTCCACTCCACACGGGGTCGCCATTCGCAAAGTGGGCATCCCGCAGCACTGCGCCGTGCCTGCCACCCGTCCCAGAGCCCCGCCCCCCGGGAAGCACCACAGGTACGAGCCTCTCATCACATTTCCATCAGGGCTGCACACAAACACAGCCAGGAAGCATTTCGTGCCATGGAAAGTTAATCATTTCCCCGGATTTACTCAGAAACCGAAGCACACAATGCTAAAGCTGGGGGCAACAGCTTGTTTTATAAGCATAATGCATTATAAGAACTGAGGTGGTCTTAAGTATGTGACTCTCAAATGGAATTAAATTCTTGCTGCTTTCCATGCGATTTTTTTGTTAAGGGCATGAAATTCAGAATCAAATTAAACATTATGGAACTTCTTTGTTACTGGGGCTATTTTAGCAGGATGATCTAATCACCCCCCGCATCTTCACTGCCCTCTCCCCCGCCCAGCTTCCTGCTAACCCTGTGTGGAGCTGACAGGGGCCTATGAAGCCCCACACCCCCCACCGCACATAGACACTCACAGGCCCTTTGCTTTGTCCAGGAAGCTATAAGACATGCTGTGATGGACTAGACTGTTTCAGGCAATGGGTGAACACTGGAAGGTCACAGGGTCAAGACCCTAAAGGGCCCCCCTTTACTACTGGTGAGAAAAATGGCAGCAAGGTGTCCACGGGTAAAGAGGGAATTGCCGCAGCAATCCCATAAGTATTTTACATGGAGCCACTGGCAGTGCGGGTTATAAAAGGCGGGCTGTAACTTGCTTCCTGAGTTCTCATTGGTGGGTGTGGATGTCATGTAATCACACAGTGGGAGGGTCCTGCTCCAGTTAGCCAGTTAGATTCACATTCATTTCCACGGCCCAAGCAGCACTAGGACTCTGGGTGGCCATGCGGTCTGTCCAGCAGGGGGGTATGTGGGGGGGCCAGGCTGGGTCTAGCCCCCATGTCTGGGAAGGGAGCTACCCGCTTGTGAATGGGACAGGGGCCCCCAACGCCTGTCCATCAGGGTAATGATACATCTAAGCAGGCGGTCGGCCTGAGCTGGGAATGAGGAAATGTCTGTTATGTAGCACTCCTGCCCCACCCTGTCCGTGTGTGTGTGTGTGTTTCATGTGTCTGTCTGTCTGTCTGTGTGTGTGTGTCTATGTTTGTCCGTGTCTGTGTGTGTGTGTCTCTGTATTTGTGTCTGTGTGTGGGCAGGTGCCCCCCCTACCTCCCATCAGGCTGAAGGGAGGATGTTGCCATGGAGACAGAGGAAGGTGTAGTGCATGATGCTGGTCACGACCTCTCACTCAGCATCATGTCTCCAGTGGGAGGCGTGAACGTGTAGCTGAACTCCATGGGAAACTGTCCCTTTGGGGAACCTGAGCATCACTGCCCCCCATTTCAGCCTCTGATTGCCCTCTTCTGCTCTAAATCAGCATTCCCTGCCTCTCCCACAGCCCCAGCCAGCGAGCACGCCTCGCCCGACCCCACCGGACCCCACCCACTCCACGGGGACGCCTCAATCCCATTGGTGGCTGCAGGGACTCTGGACCCATCTACCAGCACCTGCAGGAGGCCCAGTCCTCAGATAGGGAGGCGGAGCCTTTACAAGAGTGAGTCACAGGGGGGAGGGGAGGGGGGGTTCACAGTTTTTGATGCTTTATTTTTCAGGTTCCTCCTCCTCCTCCTCGTCTTTAACCGCTGTGTGACCCCCCCATCCCTCGATTCCAAGTGAAGACATAAAGCAGCCCACCCACACAAGGAAACACTCTTGTTTTATTTAAGCTGATTCACATGAGGGAGAGTCACCCATTATTAGTCTTTTATTTAAGCTGATTCACATGAGAGAGAGTCACCCGTTATTAGTGTTTTATTTAAGCTGATTCACATGAGGGAGAGTCACCCGTTATT